TTACTAAATTGCAGAGTGCAATGACAAATTAAACTGCATAATTTTCAATAAAAAACTGGAAAAATTGGGGTGTTCTAAACCTTTTGACTGGTATCATTCTGCAATTTGAGCTATCATTGCACACACTTCATTCAAGTTAAGCCATCTTTATCTTCAGAGCTGTGGATCACAAAGTTTTCGTTTTTTGAAATAAACTCACCGGGTGTTTGAATATTTCTGCGCTTCAGAGGTCTTTGAATCACCCTGCCATTGTCTTTACTGAAAGCAAGGAAGGCAGTGAAACAACTGCTCACTCCTGATTGGACACTGAGCTGCACCACCTTTTCCTTCACTCCTCCATCTTGGCATCTTCTGTGCTCTCTCTCCTCCATCTCCAGGGAGCGAATCAGAGTCCGAGCACCCAACCTGTGGACTGTTAATCTGCAGAGAAGTAGGAACACACCCAACGATAGTACATTACTTTATCTGTGACTTAATTGTATATTATACAAAGGTGGAGTCAAACACAACACTTCTTCATACCTAGAAGCAACCAGACTCCAAATGAAAGGTGGACACTTGCTTCAGGTTTTAAACCGGTTATTAGCTCTTTTATCACAGTTATGGAATTAAGGTTAATGCGGCATAGCCTTATAAAGAAGATGTGGAAATCACTTTAGTTACCAACTTGCTGTGTGTCCTATTTATAAAAGAGTCTAAGCAGCACATAAGAATTAAAAACATTTGAACCATTTTCTGAATTACCAACTGAATGCAAAGGCATTCCTGTGACAATGTGAAACACAGTTTTTCATGATCCTTCAGTCTTCCTGTGCATCTCCACTCTCCTCCTTATGTATATGGATGCCAGAGAAGAACCTGGCATCCCAGTGCCAAACCTGCTCGTGCACATTGTGGAAGGAGGGATAGAAAACATCAAAACTGGCTTCCCATGGCTGGCAGAGTTAAATGGAAGAGGAGCAGAGCATGCAATTAGCAACTGATTTCCAGCTGCACATTAAATGGTGTTAGGAGGCAGGTGCACAGAAATGCTACCTGGCACAGATGGGTGGGTGGAGCTACAAGGTGTGCAGTAGCTTTTGCTATAGAATTTGCAGTTTTGCTTCTGCATGGAAGAAAACTTTGGATTGACATTTGGATGTGAGAAGTTAAGAAACAGTTAAAACCAGGCTACAGTCCAGTCTGAATCCTTAATGAAAGGATATTTGGGAGACCTTACGGAAGCATGGGAATGGCGTGGCTTCCAAGAATGAACAGCTTGTAAAACTGGGGGATCATATATAGATGAGAACCAGAAGGGGCGTGTTTGGAGGTGTGGACCTGCTCCTAAAATTTAGATACTTTATATGCAATTAAATGAAAAGAGTAATTTGTCTCATAATCTTTTCTTTAAGCTCAATATGTGTCTGAGATCATGATCTACAGAAAAGTGTTTTTTTTTTTTTT